TCTTGCCTTACTGTGCCACAGGACACAACAGCTACACAGTCATTTTTTTTTTAAATGTGATAGGCATTGACACCAGCCATTGGGAGGACTGCCGAACACCTACACTTCTTTTTTCCATCACATATAATATATATTAGTATATTTTGGTAGCAGTCTTTCCTGTAGACATATATTATTTAATATGACCGAAAAACTAAGATTAATAATTCTAACACGAATTTTCTCTATCTTTCTTATGTTTCTTTTCACTGTTGATGGTAATTCAAAGGTCAATTCTCCAAAATTCATTTTTATTTAGAGTCTGACGCGACACTTGAGCGCGTTTCGTAAAACTTATTACATTTTCAAGGACTTTAGTTTACAAACACACAACTGAAACTGAATAGAGCTTACATATCTTCGAGGTTTATATCTACATTTGGGTGAGGTGGATGAGGTGAAAAACGAACTTTCAACAATGGGCATTAAATTCCAACACAAGACAGAACACGAAACAATGGGTATTGAATGGGTATTAAATTCAAACACAAGACAGAACACGAAACAATGGGTATTGAATGGAAGTAATTGTAGAAAGCCTATTGGTCCATATTTCTTGATGCTTCTATATTGGAGCGGAGTCTTGAAGTGGGTAGAATATAGTTGTGCATTAATTGGCTGTTGATTGCTGGTGTTGACTTCTTGATGTGTAGTGCCTTGCAGACGTCTAGCCGCCTGCTATCGCTGTATCTATCGATGATTTCTGTGTTGTTTGCTAAGATTTCTCTGGTGATGGTTTGTTTGTGGGAAGAGATTATATGTTCCTTAACGGAGCCCTGTTGCTTATGCATCGTTAAACTCCTGGAAAGAGATGTTGTTGTCTTGCCTATATACTGTTTTTTTTGGAGCTTACAGTCCCCAAGAGGGCATTTGAAGGCATAGACGACGTTGGTCTCTTTTAAAGCGTTCTGCTTTGTGTCTGGAGAGTTTCTCAAGAGTAGGTTGGCCGTTTTTCTGGTTTTATAGTAAATCGTCAGTTGTATCTTCTGATTTTTGTCTGTAGGGATAACGTTTCTATTAACAATATCTTCCAGGACCCTTTCCTCCGTTTTATGGGCTGTGGAAAAGAAGTTCCTGTAAAATAGTCTAATAGGGGGTATAGGTGTTGTGTTAGTTGTCTCTTCAGATGTTGCATGGCGTTTCACTTTCCTTCTTATGATGTCTTCGACGAAACCATTGGAGAAGCCGTTGTTGACTAGGACCTGCCTTACCCTACAGAGTTCTTCGTCGACTTGCTTCCATTCTGAGCTGTGGCTGAGAGCATGGTCGACATATGCGTTAACAACACTCCTCTTGTACCTGTCTGGGCAGTCGCTGTTGGCATTTAGGCACATTCCTATGTTCGTTTCCTTAGTGTAGACTGCAGTGTGGAAACCTCCGCTCTTTTCCATGACTGTTACATCTAGAAAGGGCAGCTTCCCATCCTTTTCCATCTCGTAAGTGAAACGCAGCACGGAACTCTGCTCAAATGCCTCCTTCAGCTCCTGCAGATGTCTGATATCAGGTACCTGTGTAAAAATGTCGTCAACATACCTGCAGTATATGGCCGGTTTCAAGTTCATGTCGACTAAGACTTTTTGCTCTATGGTACCCATGTAGAAGTTTGCAAACAGGACACCTAGGGGAGAACCCATGGCGACCCCATCTACTTGCTTATACATGTGCCCATCCGGGCTCAAGAAGGGTGCCTCTATAGTACAAGCTTGGAGTAGTTTCCTCAGAATATTTTCTGGTATGTCAAGAGGAGTACAGGCTGGATCACGATATGCTCTGTCGGCTATCATCCCGATTGTCTCGTCCACAGGTACGTTGGTAAACAGCGATTCTACGTCCAACGAGGCTCTTATCCCTATGGCCCGTGTGCCCCGTAGTAAGTCAACAAATTCCTTTGGAGACTTCAGGCTAAAGGCGCAAGGAACATAAGGAGTCAGCAGGCCGTTGAGTCGCTTCGCCAGTCTGTTCGTGGGTGTGGGTATCTGGCTAATGATTGGCCGAAGTGGGTTTCCAGGCTTGTGTGTCTTGACATTTCCATACGCATATCCAGGTTTATATTCCCCAATGATCTTTGGCAGGTGGAGTCCGGATTTCTTGGCGTTCACAGTTTCGATCAGTTTGTTGACCTTTGCTTTCAGTTCGGCTGTAGTGTCCTTCGTTACCCTTTGGAACTTAGTTTGGTCAGAGAGACCAAATAGAACTATATTCTACCCACCTCAAGACTCCGCTCCAAAATAGAAGCATCAAGAAATATGGACCAATAGGCTTTCTACAATCACTTCCATTTCAATACCCATTGTTTCTTGTTCTGTCTGGTGTTGATGAAATTAATACCCTATTAAATACCACCTCACCCCATCCACCTCACTCAAATGTAGATATAAACAAATCGGAGATATGTAAGTTCTATTCAGTTGTGTATATGTAAAGTCTTTGAAAATGTAATAAGTTTTACGAAACGCGCTCAAGTGTCGCGTCAGACTAGAAATAAAAATGAATTTTGGAGAATTGATTTTTTAATTATCTCCAACAGTGAAAAGAAATGTACGAAAGATTGAGAAAATTCGTATTAGAATTATTAATCTTACTTTTTCGGTCATATTTAATAATATATGTCTACAGGAAAGACTGCTACCAAAATATACTAATATATATATATACATGCGAACAAGCCTGAACGGTCTCCAGGCATATATGCCACTGAAAACTCACACCCCAGAAGTGACTCGAACCCATACTGCCAGAAGCAATGCAACTGATGTACAGGATCTCTTAACCACTCGACCAACACGACCGAACAAAAGAGGAAGGTAGCCGAGGCTATTTCCATCCCCCCACTGGCACTTCTATATTGGTGCGAAGTCTTAAAGTGGGTAGAATATAGTTGTGCATTAATTGGCTGTTGATTGCTGGTGTTGACTTCTTAATCAGCAGCCAATTAATTCACAACTATATTCTACCCACTTCAAAACTCCGCACCAATATAGAAGCATCAAGAAATATGGGCCAATAGGCCCTTTGCAGTTACTTCCATTCTTCCCTTTAATTTACCCAATTTATACCCATTGTTTCGTGTTCTGTCTTGTGTTGAAAGTTTTGTTCACCTAATCCAAACCTGTTGTAACATATCACATCACCCAAAATGCGGGCATATAAGATGAAAGCTGTTTAAATCATAGCATAGTAGAACTCTGTTTAGTGTTTGCAGGTTATAGTTGTGTGTGTAAACTAAAGTCTTTGAAAATGTAATAAGTTATTACGAAACGCGTTCAACTGTCGCGTCAAACTAGAAATAAAAATGAATTTTGGAGAATTGATTTTCAATTACCATCAACAGTGAAAAGAAACATAAGAAATATAACTTTCGGAGATTACAGCGTGTGTTGCCCTGAGGGGCGAGTTTATTTTGCAGCGCCACTCATTCTGTGAGTGGACACACCGCCATAGCAGCATGTACAATACTCCCCTATATGAAGAAAACCTGCTAGGTTGTTCATCCTGTCACTTGTACCCCAGACACAGCTGGGACTTGCTTAACTGTCTCAAGTGAACAGCTCCTCAAACAAGAAGATTAACATCTGTCAACCCTTAAAATGTTACGTTATCTTGCGGGTGCAAAATGGCAGAAACTTTTAAGAACATTATTAATATTGGAAAAATAGTGTTTTCCTAACTTAAACAATGTGGGTTTTATTATTCTGCACATATTTCTAATGTCTCTCAGGTGTTCACATTCTCTCAGATAGTGGTCAATGCGGTGTCTGTCACTCTCATCACAGATTTTGCTACTTTGCTGCTCCACTGTTGTTTCCATTATGAATCTCCATGGATATTTGTATCCAAGACAAATTCGCGCTAATATTGATTCTCCTGTGGCCACCTCCTCTTCATTCATAATGATTGGGGTTGCCAGCAGCAATCATTACTGCTGGCCATTCCATCGTTGTACCATCGTACAGATTCGCTGATTTGTGCTTCTATCTTCCTTACCTCAGTTACGATGTCATGGTGATGTTGCCTGACAATACCTATAATTTGTAGAAGTCTTGCGTATGAAGTATTCAATATGGTCTCCTTCAGCATCCAACACATCTACTCGTTCATTACCACATATTCCAACATGGGAGGGGATCCACAGAAACTTGAAGACTCTTCCCTGGTTGGTTAGTACCCTCACAGCTCTCTTGATTTCAGCAAATATCGCAAGATTTTCTGCCCGATATTTACTTAGGCTTTGTAGCACTGCTTTTGAATCAGTTCAGCTCACTGCACCATTAGTGTTTCGTTCAAAGAATCTTATCGCCATAACAATGGCAGTTAGCTTTGCTTGCGTTGAAGAGGCATAGTTCTAATACGTTTTTTTTCTTCATTTTTGCATTGAAAGCCATTGTTCCTTTGGCATTACAGACATTACAGGAGAGGCCTTATAGTGTATGCTGCACCAGCCCTGCCATTAGATGACCTGTCAGTGTAGATTTGACCAAGTTCATCTCCGGCTCCTTTATAAATTTCCTCGAGATTCTCGTGCATCATTTCTTATGTTATTATGTTGGATTTTTTCGTTGCCATTTCATTGATGATAATCCTGCATGGGTCATTCTCCCAGGGAGGTAACCTCTCAGCAGGCATCAGCTCACGGGCTTGCCCAAGCAGGTGAAGTTCTTCCAGGGAGTAGACTGATCTGTGATGCCAATTATTGGGCTCCTCCACCACTTGAACACCAACACTTCGGCTCCACCACCGGGGAGCACTTGAGCACCACCACTGGGGGGCACTTGAACTCCACCACCGGCGTCTGGTCGGCGTCGACCAGATAAAGGTGGCCGCGATATAGGCCGACTTGAGTGAGGGTATAATCTGGCTCTGATAACAAGAGTACATTACTTGGTGTCCTGTTTCTATGTCAGTGCCGCCAAGTTTATCTTGAAGGGACCTTGGTCAGTGCCGTGAGAGGCTATATAAGGCCCCCCACGCCCCGGGAGTGCCCACTCCTGCCCCAGTGCCGCTGGTGGACAGGCCCCGTCCTCGTGGACAGTACAGTGACAGGTGTTACACTCTGCAAGTGACAGTTGGCAGTGTTAGGTAGTGAGCCCATCACATCCACTTGGATATACTTCGCTACTGTGAGTGACTCAACACACACTTAAGTGTGTGTTGAGAGCAGGACCAGTCCATTGTAGTGGAGGGGAGGACACGACGCATGTGTTGAGTGCAGGACCAGTCCATTATAGAGGAGGGGAGGACACGACGCCTGTGTTGAGTGCTGGACCAGTCCATTACAGAGGAGGGGAGGACACGACGCATGTGTTGAGTACAGGACCAGTCCATTATAGTGGAGGGGAGGACACGACGCCTGTGCTGAGTGCAGGACCAGTCCATTGTAGAGGAGGGGAGGACACGACGCCAGGATGAAGGTGGTGTTGGTGGTCCTCATGATGGTCGCCATCACCCATGCAGGTCAGTTCTCACGCCCCATGTCCCATGTCCCCACCACAAGCCACGCCCCTTACCCCATGCCCACACCACAAGCCACGCCCCTTACCCCATGCCCCCACCACAAGCCACGCCCCTTACCCCATGACCTGGTGGTCGACGACCGGGCCGCGGGGACACTAAGCCCCGGAAGCACCTCAAGGTAGCCTATGACCACACCACAAGCCACGCCCCTTACCCCATGCCCACACCACAAGCCACGCCCCTTACCCCATGCCCACACCACAAGCCACGCCTCTTATCCATGCCCACACCACAAGCCACGCCCCTTACCCCATGCCCACACCACAAGCCACGCCCCTTACCCCATGCCCCCACCACAAGCCACGCCCCTTACCCCATGCCCCCACCACAAGCCACGCCCCTTACCCCATGCCCACACCACAAGCCACGCAACTTACCCCATGACCACACCACAAGCCACGCCCCTTACCCCATGCCCACAACACAAGCCACGCCCCTTACCCCATGCCCACAACACAAGCCACGCCCCTTACCCCATGCCCACACCACAAGCCACGCCCCTTACCCCATGACCACACCACAAGCCACGCCCCTTACCCCATGCCCACACCACAAGCCACGCCTCTTATCCATGCCCACACCACAAGCCACGCCCCTTACCCCATGCCCACACCACAAGCCACGCCCCTTATCCCATGCACACACCAAACGCCACGCCTCTTATCCCATGCCCACACCACAAGCCACGCCTCTTACCCCATGCCCACAACACAAGCCACGCCCCTTACCCCATGACCACACCACAAGCCACGCCCCTTATCCCATGCACACACCAAACGCCACGCCTCTTATCCCATGCCCACACCACAAGCCACGCCCCTTACCCCATGCCCACATCACAAGCCACGTCTCTGACTCCATGCCCACGTCTGAAGCAATCTCAAACGTCACATTCGCAAACCTCATCCAACGACCCAGGCCTTATACCAACATCTTAAGCCAAGCATATACCCCATGCGCACTTTTCAAGCCACGCCTATTTACATATGCCCACATTTCTCAGTTCACGCCCATGCCCATATATCTCAGCTGGTAGACACAAAACCATGACTATATCTCCTAGTATACCCATGTCTGTCGAATACATAAACACCAGACCCCAGAATGTTACCACAGTCGCGCCATACTCCTACTGATTCATTGTTGACTCATCCGAACTCCTCCACTGGAACTGATAAGCTGAGACAGTATAGCATAGATTATGTTGATATTTTGCGCATTAACGTTCACGTCAATTACTATAAATGTGTGTAGCTCAACATTCAAAATTTTGTTGACTAAACGGTGATTCTACGTCATCATTAGGCTATAAGATATCACTTATGTTCTGTCGACTGCAAGATTTACTTGCAGTCGTGCCTCATGCATCAACGTGCCTCATCCTTCAGCTCACAGAACACAATCTTGTTAAGCATTAAACAACAAAGCTTTGTCAAGAAAATATTAAATATTGAATGGGTTGAGTAAATATTCAACCCATTCCCCTGTTTAGATAGTAAGTTTTTGTAAATATGTGCACCATAGTACAAAGATTTCCGTTCTAAGCAATTAGATTGTAGAACTTCGTACTATTCACTTTATAGTCGGAAAAATGAAGCTATAAAAATTAATTAAATATTCCTAGACCTGATATAGCACACATCTAATATGTTATATGTATTATATGAGGCCTAATATGTACTATATTGGGCCTCAGATATCGTGAATTGGGCCTAGGAAGAACTTATGTTAGATAAGTTTTGTTTATCTTTGCAACATAAGTAGAAAATAGTTTTCTGGTTAGTCGAACGGAATAGTGCCGATTTCTATCTTCTAATTTCGTTGTACGTCGGTATATATACTATGGCCCTCATCGTTACTATATGTATTTCTGAAAAAGGAAGATAAAACAGGATATTAAAGTCACGTACATGCAATACATACAGAAGGCAAATTTGGAATACTTGGCTAAGATCAAGCAGCCTAACCTCACACCTCTGCAAGTTCGTGAAGAGTCCGGTGCGGTGAAATCCTCCATGACCTCACAGCACACAATCTTGTTAAGCATTAACAACAAGGTTTTGTCAAGAAGAACTCCTGCCTGATGAACCTGCCCACGTTTGTGGAAACAATAACCGGCTAAACAGTCAAAGGATTTATAGTTTATGTAAATCAACTGATTTACATGAACTGTAAATTGATACATTTCATTTTAATTTAAATAATAAATTAAACTTTACATTTAATTTACAGATGATAAATTAATTGTAAAATACCGTATCAAAGGCTTTAATGAGGTACCTCACAAAAGACTGGCTGAGAAACTACACGCACGTGCAGTCAATAGTAAAATACTGAAATGGTTCTAACAGTGGTTAAAACACTGTTATAATTGGGGGTTTTGAAAATAGGAGAACGAACTTAACTGGAAATACCAATTAGAGAGTTAGGCTAGGTCCAGCCCCCTAGGGATTAGTTTTCACACTCAATATAAGAGTACTGCTGCCTAGGAAGAATGATTGCCTAAGTCTAGTCAAACGTAAGGGGGGTGGGGGTAAACTTCAGTTAAAAACTTAAAAATTTATCACTGAAAACCCAGAAATAACATCACAATGGTCTAGCACGTTATACTTTACGTTAAATCTCAGGCTCCTCATAGGCAGGCGAGATGTACTAGTAGTAGAGCCTACAATCTCTTAAGGGACAGTCCAAACTTAACCTAAAACATAGTAATCCACGTGTTCCACCTGCCAGTACCTGGGTTCCAGCTTACAAGATCCTCAGGTGATAGCCAGGGTAACGCACACTATACTATAAAGAGAAGGGTGGCACTAATATATATCAACCCGTTCTCGCACTTTCTTATAGTCATTATTGACTTATTAAATACGTGCATATGTGACATACTAATTTATTGTGAATATTTTAGTTTACCTTGAAAAGCTTCATAGAAAGGACCTTACCGAACCTTCTTAGTATGTTAAGAAAACCATCTTATTGCTTCGTAATTACAATTATTACTTAACCTATACCTATAACTGGTTAAGTAATAATTGTAATTACGAAGCAATAAGATGCTTATCTTAACATACTAAGAAGGTTAGGTAAGGTCGGTGTTTTCTATGAAGCTTTTCAAGGTAAACTAAAATATTCACAATAAATTAGTATGTCACATATGCACTTATTTAATAAGTCGATATTGACTTAAAGAAAGTGCGAGAACGGGTTGTATATATTGCTACTTATCTGAATTAAGTGTGCAGAGTTAGAGTAGAAAGTGGAGAACACCACAGCGCCACACCCAGCTCCACCACGCCCCAGCCAGACAAGAGGGCGAGGAACCTGCGTCCATGTGCTCTTGGTGTTGGCTCAGTAAAACTGATCAACAGGTAAACACTGTCACACGTCACTCACCTTTGCCTTGTGATACGTGAGGTTACAGTTAAACAGCGGGGATCATGCTACTGATCCCGAAACCTCACGCCTTGGGGTTACAAGGGAGAGAGGATAAAGCCCAGCACACACTGCTTGAACTCAATCCTGTAGTGTGTGACTCCCCCACCAGGCCTGCCTACCTGTGCTTGCAAACTTTTGCCGGACTCCCGGCCGTATCCTTAATTTCACCTCTTCCTTTCTGGCCGCCAGCTAGGTAATCTTCTCTGTGTCCCAGCAACGCTATTTGGGTCGAATATAATATCGTATCTACAGTCCAGGACCTTTCTATGTAAGGCCAGTGTTGCCAACCCAGGGTCTCTATACAATGAAAGTACCAGTGTAGTATAAGAGTATATCATGTACTCACAATGCTCAATGAGATGGAGGCGACACCAAGAGCAATGATAAAACAATAAAGTTTACTCAAAAGTAAACTACAGACACATAAGATATCAATGGAAATGATAATGGTGACAGCAGCGCTCCTCTGGTGGCTACCGGCAACTCGCATCAGCTGATCGAGTTTATATGGACCACAGGCGTCTCACTGGGGGCGACTCGTCAGCGTAGGTCCACAGTCCTCCACAGGTCGGCCACTCGCTGTCTCCACCAGGCAGTAGATAACATACACGTGGTGTCCCACAGTCTAATCTACTCCTATGATTCCTAGAACACTCTAGCAAATGCCAAAATATAACAGTAGGCCTATCATGCCTAACAACAAGGGAAAAATGATCTACCTTATCAAGTTCTGCCCTCAGGACGCCTGGACTCTGATGGTCGCCGGGGTTCCTCGGTCCTTCACGTCGTTTCTTGGCGTTCCAGATGAGTCACATTCAATAGGCGTCGTGAAGACCCGCGTCATCTCCGTACTCACTCCCGTAGTGTAGTTCCTGGGCGCTGGCTCGTCCAGTCATCACTGCACACGTCGTTTCCCTCAAGCGCATTTTCACAGAGACCACTCACTCATGGATCAGGATTCGTCTTCTCCCTTCTGAGTTCCCAGTTCTCATAACATTCAGGGCCTTTCACATTAAGATATAACCTAATGATGCCTACATCCCCAATGTAAACTATTAGGTACACAGATCTCCATATGGTCCTGGCTCCTATATGCAACAATAGGAGCCAGGATCGTAACAAGTACACATACAAAACGTACTAAATTATCTAGAACCAGACTAAGAAATATACCAGCTAAGAACCACAAGCTTCAATTTTAGAGCCAACTTTTTAAAATATTATATCACTGTAGTGAATTGCATCATAATTCACATCATCAGACCTGCAGATGACATAACGAGCCAAGTGGGAAGCGAAAACGATGTTGTGGCCTTGGAAAAGTATCTTCAAGAGCACCGTAAATGGTCAGAAGTCGTGTAGATACTCTGTAATATGTAAAACTACAAAGCCTTATATGTAGAGCATAGCAATGTACGCAACAGCGACTAAGTGAAGAACACGACTTCGCAGCTAATTGAAAAAAATAGTAGTAAAGATTCTTATGAACACCACGTAGCCTGGTG